CAAACAACATTTATACTTAAGAAATCTGGAAGAAAGTCCATTTTGTTCATGCGGGTTAGTAGAAAGTACCCACCATTTTTTATTGTCTTGTGCTAATTATAACATAATTCGACAAAATACTTTACTTCAACTAGATATTACTCTAACTGAAAAAACTCTATTATGGGGAAACGACACTTACTCTAATCAGAAAAATGAACAAATATTCTTGACCGTGCAAAATTATATCAAGCTTAGTAAACGTTTTACCTAATATTTTTTGTCCTTTAATTCTTATTATAAAACTGTACATTATGTATTGTTTCATAGATCTGAATGGAGCTTTGAAAGGTAACCTTTTTTACATACCAATAAATTAAGGCGCCACTACTTAAGTTGTAAATTACATTTTGTAATTCTATCCACCACATGTGCGTATACGTAAGTTAATATGTTTTATTGTTATGTCCAAATATTACTTTTTCATCCAATGTCGATGTTAGGTGTTCCATTTCCGATTTATATTTGTCTTTGTATGTACATGGGAAAGGAATTAATATAAGCTTTAAGCTTGTTTTCCCATCCCATAAGATTATGCGTACCTGTCTGTAATTAAATGCTTATTACTGAATAAAAATATTGTTTAAACTAAGAGACTTGCTGTCAAAGACGAAAGCACATTAGTCCATCGTATCAAACTGAACAGGATGACACAGTCCCCAGGAACAGGCATTCGGACATTTTTAGCTAGTCTTCGAGGCCAGGCTGCACTCTTCCAAATATAGTGCCACTTGCAAGGAGCCACTTTCTCATCATGTGTTTGATTACAGCGATGAGATAATCAAGGACAACCTTATTAGGAGGATTGCTGATCCTGAAATAATGTCAGACTTGCTAGGTGACCATAAGACTGATAGAACCTTAGAAGAAACTGTGTCCTTCATCGCCAGAAGGAGCAGGGCAAGGTAACCAAACGTGCTGTTGGAGACTCTGCAGGTGCTCACACTACTCCGAAACCACCCACAGCTCCTGGGAATGAGTGCTGGGCATATGGAGATCCTTCACATGGAAATATGAATGACCGTAAGGCCAGATCCAAGAACTGTGAGAGGGACACCAGGTGAGGCGGACACGCTATCGAGTATACATCAAGCCTTAAATCAATCTACATTTGTACATATCAATAGTAGCAAATACAGGATTCCAAAGTTCAATCATCCCCCTGAAGTCAGCTCTCAAGTTAGGAATAAAGGCACAGGACCTTCTCTCGGTAAAGCTTGTGATGTGTGGGGCTATAAAGGAAGACCTTGGCGTTATGGAAGCAATTGTCATCAGTGTTGCCACCAAAGACATCGCTGGTTCTATTAAGTCGGCACGTGTATTTTGTTATGTCTCTAACACTATGGAGAAAGCTTTCCTTTGCAGAGAAGCCTTCGTTTCACTTGGAGTCATCCACACACAGTTCCCAAGTATAGCCATGGCACCTCATGACATTAATGCATCTGTAGAAGACTCTGTTGAAGCATCCTGCTCTTGCCCCAGACGTCAACAACAACCACCTCCATTGTCAAGCAGATTACCCCCAGGATTTCATGCTACTGAAGAGTATGTAGAAGCGCTTCTTGACTATTATGGAGCTACAGTCTTCAATGTGTGTGAGCACCAACCTCTACCACTTATGGAATGTGAACCTCTCCAACTTCATATTGACCCAGATGCCACACCCATGGCCGTCCATAAGCCAGCACTTGTTCCAATTCACTGGCAGGACAAAGTTTATGCTGATCTGGAAAGAGATGTTCGCATTGGCGTTCTTGAGCGAGTCAGCCCCAATACACCAACAAAATGGTGCTCCAGGATAGTTGTAACCAGGCAAGGCTGATAGCTCCCCAAGACGGACATTAGACTTGCAACCACAAAACTGGTGTACCAATACATGAAGAATACCGACACTTCACAACATTTGTTACTCCGTGGGGTTGCTACAGGTACAAGGTGGCCCCACAGGATTTTTTGGCCAAAGGTGATGCCTACATTCAGCGCTATCATCGCTGACTTCCAGAATAAGGTCAAATGCGTAGACGACACATGTATGTGGGCAAATTCTATCGAAGCTGCATCTTTTCAGGCTTGTGAATGGTTCGATCTTTGTGTACGAAATGGCATTACTCTGAATCCAAAGAAATTTCAATTTGCCCAGGACGTTGTTGACTTTGCGGGATTCACAATCACTCCAACTAATATACGCCCCAGTGCCAAGTTCCTTGATGCCATCAGAAACCTCCCCACACCCACTGACACCAATGGTGCAAGAGCTTGGTTTGGGTTCATAAACCAGGGTGCATATGCATTTGCCATGACACGACAGATGAAGCCTTTTCGTTCCCTGTTGAAACCCTCAACACCATTTGTTTGGACAGAAGAGCTGGACAAGGTATTCAACCAGTCCAAAGAGGTTATTGTAGAGGAAAGAAGGTGTGCGTTTATTTGACACTGATCGACCAACCTGCTTAGCCACTGACTTGTCTGTTGATGGCATGATGCAGAAGTATTGCCAATGTGTGCCCAAGACTCCTACTTGTTGCAATGATGGATGGAGGTATCCTCCCATTGAAGGGGAGGCTTTGGCAGTTGTATATACTGGGATGCAAGGACCTCATTGTAGCTACGGACCACAAACCCCGTCTGCAGATTCTGAACGATAGGTGTCTCACTGACATTGACAATAGACGACTACTTAACCTTAAGGAGAAAACTCTTGGATACAGGTTTACAATCATACATGTGCCTTGCAGGATGAACCTCGATCCGGATGCAGCTTCCAGGCACCCCGCCAACCAACCCTATCGTCTTTCACTACCGAGAGAACAACCAGAGCTTGATCTTTACCACGACAGTATCTCGCCATGACACCCAGGCAAGCCTATACCAGCACACACGGGATAATGATACAGCTAAGGACGCTTCCACTGTTGCCGCAGCCTCCAAAGCTCTGAAATATGTCAGCACTGTGGTCACGTGGGACATGGTTCGTGAGGCAACAGCATCTGATGGAACATTTCTTGACCTCATGCATCACTTGAAGACAGGATTACCAGACGATGTCAGGGAGATGTCTGCAACATTGCGGCCTTATCATCGCTATGCAGCTAGCCTGTGTGTTGTGGATGGTGTAGTACTCTTGGGCCATCGAATTGTCATCCCACCCATTATTCGAAAGCCGATCCTCTATGCACTCCAAGCAGCCCACCAAGATGTCAGTGCAATGCGTGCGCGGGCCATGGACTCCGTGTATTGGCCTGATTTCACTGTTGACATTTCCAGAGTGAGGGACCAGTGTGCACACTGTCATCAGATGGCCAAATCCAACCAAATGCAGCCCCCATCTGACATCACGCCTCCAGACTACCCCTTCCAGATGATCTGTAGTGGCTATTTTACCTTCAACGGCAAAGACTATGTTGTCAGGTATTCAAACTGGCCTATGGTACCTAGGTCAGAATCTGGTGCAGAGGACCTAGTTAAACGACTACGTGAGACATTTGTGACATTTGGCATCCTGGAAGAGTTAACTTCAGATGGAGGCCCCCAATTCATAGCGGGGAAGACTCAGGAGTTCTTGAAGACCTGGGGGATTAAGCACAGAATTTCGTCCGTTGCTAACCCACAAGCCAATTGCAGGGCTTAACTGGCTGTGAAGTATGTGAAACGCATGCTTACCGACAACATATCTGCTTCAGGATCCATGGATGAGGATAAGTTTCAGAGAGCATTGCTAATGTACCGCAACTCCATAGTTCCAGAGACAAAATCCTCTCCAGCATTTATTTTGTTTGGACGTCCCATTCGTGACGCCATCCCTATCCTGATGGGGAGATATTCCTCTCATGAAACATGGACAGAACTGCTCTCACATCGTGAATTGGTACTTGCCCGGCGACACTCGAGGGAACATGAAAGGTGGAATGAGCACGCCCACAAGTTACCACCACTGAAAGTAGGAGATCACGTCTACATATAAAACTTGGTTGGCAACCATCCCAGGCGATGGGAACGTACTGGGACCGTTATCGAGGTCCGAAAATACCACCAGTATGTTATCCGGGTTGATGGCACAGGCCGTGTCACACTTCGCAACCGCCAGCATCTTAGAAAGTTCACCCCCTTCCACAGCCTACCGACTCCAGTTGTGGAACAGCCTCGAGGTGCAATCCCCAATACACCCTCTCCATCTCAGACAGCAGGGCCGAAGGAAACGGAGCGCCCACTTCCATTGTCACCACCATGTATGCCACAGTCACCACAAGTGCTATAGTCACAACCCAGCTTAGACCGGTCATCAACCAGGGTCCGTACTCTGCAACCGGCCGTACGGACAGCTCTGCTACCCAAACGCATTACCTTTGAGCCAACTGGTGACATTCCTCAACCTGACGTGCCAACTATGTAACAGATGCCGCCTACCCCAGCCAGTGATGTGCCAGCTGTGCCCCGAGTATCACGTGCTCTTGCCCGGCTTCAGCCTCACAATGCAGCTGGAAAAAAGAAACTTCTATCATCTCGAAGACCCAATCGTCGTGACGGTGCACGGATTCCTGGACACAGCGATGTGTAGCAGTTTATTGTGTGATAGCAGTGCCAGTAGCAGAGACACTCAAACTATTCAGTGCTATTTGGTGTGATTCTCGTTGAACTGCTAATTTTGTTTTCTGTTTTAGTGTTACAGAAAAATTTTGGGGAAAAAACGTTTTATTAAGGACTGAATTTCAGTCTGGTCAGTTTTTCCGTTTTCCGCGTACCCTAAAAAACTTGTCCCTGGGGGAGGAGATAACTAATCACTATGTTGTATTTGTACACTGCAGGTAGCAGTCATCCTTTTCCACGTCCCTCCATTTTGTAACATGTATATGGTTGTTGAGCACGGGGGGAAGGGGACACCTTTCCAATTCAGCACGGGGGAAAGGGGACACCTTTCCAATTCAGCACGGGGGGAAGGGGACACCTCTCCAATGTTGTGCTATTGTATTGTTGTGGCATGCTGTCATTATACATGCATATGTTGTTGTGATGGAAAACAATGTCATCCTCTAGTTTAATAACAGTTAACGAAGGGAGAAATTGATGTTTATTTAAAAATGACGTGCATTCTATAGTGTTTAATTAATGATTCCTGCCTATACAAATTTTGCCCACATCATGAAATGCACGTGAAAATATCGATTTAAGTAAAGACAATAACGATTTCACAAGACCGTTACTCCGAATGCCCAGTATCCCGAATGGCTGTTACTCCAAACGCCCCAAAACCCAAAACGGCTTATCCTTTCAGTCTAATGATAAAATGAAAATAAACCAACTGTTGACAATACAACATAATCTCTACCAATATATGTGTATGGTTGTTTTTTGGGGGGTCGTTTTGAGGTCTCCTTCTAGAAGCTGGTGACCAGCTAACTGAATAACATACGGGAGGCTCGCCCTATGTCGACCAGAGCATTAAGGGTAGAGTCTCAGAACGCAACAGGAGTTATCAACATCGACACATAAAAGATATGCACAGACTTAAGAGCAACATTGAAAATAGCAGTGGCTTAAGCAGAGGAAGCTAAAAAACATAATAATATATTAACTGGATATGTGTTCAGTGTCCAAATCAATTATGGTATTGTAGTATTATTGACCGCTGAAAGGCCGAAGTACTTTAATAGCGGACGAAAAGAAGGTAAATTAATAGATTGGTATATTTATATATATGTGTGTGTGTGTGTGTGTGTGTGTGTGTGTGTGTGTGTGTGTGTGTGTGTGTGTGTGTGTGTGTGTGTGTGTGTGTGTGTGTGTGTGTGTGTGTGTGTGTGTGTGTGTGTGTGTGTGTGTGTGTGTGTGTGTGTGTGTGTGTGTGTGTGTGTGTGTGTGTGTGTGAATAAATAAATAAAGTTTAGAGTTAATCCGATTAAAGGCACCTCTGAACGAAATGCCGTGGTCTTAACAAGGGGTTGTCTGTATTGAAGTGATGTATTATAGAAGGTAACGGTTTTCATCTTTATCAGTTTTCATTTAGATTAATTTGCTGCACTAGTAAATTCGTGATAACAGATTTACATTGTTCTTCAAGGTTTTTCTGTAAAATTAAAAAAATATATATATATATATTTATCAAACTACAGATTCATCAGGCAAATTTTGTCTGATCTAATCAATTAAAGAAGCCAAATGAAGAAATTCCTTTATACAAATGTAATTAGTTCATAAATCTACAGGATTTTAAGAATGAAAAGAATGTCTATACATTATTACTTCACCACAAAGAACATACAGGTTATTATGATCAGCTGGTTCACAGAGGTCACAAGAGGTCCAAGGAGCCTGCTTCTTTTCGCTGTCATGCAGCTTATAAAAGAATGTTATATATATAAAGTTATTAGAAACAAAATATCCTTGTACATTAAGTCATCGTCCTATACACTCTAAAACCACGCGACCACGCTTTCCAAACTTGTAAAATATTCCATTGTGTAGAAAAAAACATTTTGTAATTTGACTCAGAAAGTGAACCTATGCTTACAAGTATGTACAACAAAGTTCCTACGTCAAATTCTCTAGTACTTTGTTCATTGTGGATGTGAACGACGGATTCACATAGCAATCACACTCAATTCAACAAGTTCATTGATTTAAAGTGTTATCTTTATATCAGATATTGATCTCTTTGTTGTAACGTCTTTCAGTTTTACTTCATATAACGAATCTGTTAAATAGCCGATCTCCAGATGAATTGCTTGTTGCAGATTTCTCAAAGAAAGAGATGTTCATTATATAAGTATCTTTATATTCGGCAGTGACGGCAAGCATTTGTTAATAAGACATAATTACTTTCTGAATTTACTTAATTTTACACTTAACTATATAAATGACTGTTGAAATAAAACATTTTATATGCAGCAATGACTCAGTTTATTTCAGAAAATTCATAAAATCGCTGCTATATCCGTTTAAGATTGGAATTATACGTCCGCTTGTAACAATTATTTAGGCTTAAGCCGTCAGGTAAAATTCAGCCGGTAACATCAATGTCAGGTAAACAATTATTGGACAACAAAACTGTCGAAATGGTGATTTTCAACCAGTGTTGCGGGATAAATAGAATACATAGTCAGTGTCTTAAAATAAAAGTTGTATTTTGGCTCGGGAGAGAAGACAAACGTGGCGAGAAGTGGCTCGCCATTTTTGTCTTTCTTCACTCTCGCTACAATACAGTTTATATTTTTAAGACGCTGACCATGTATTCTCTATATATGACGTCAAATCGCCGAACATAAATCACGAATATACTCCGGTCACGTGTTCATGATATGGAATGTACTCCGGTCACGTGTTCATGTTATGGAATATAATCCGGTCACGTTGTTATGTTATGGAATATACTCCGGTCACGTGTTCATGTTCTGGAATATACTCCGGTCACGTGTTCATGTTATGGAATATACTCCGGTCACGTTGTTATGTTATGGAATATACTCCGGTCACGTGTTCATGTTATTGAAAATTCTCCGGTCACGTGTTCATGTTATGGAATATACTCCGGTCACGTGTTCATGTTATGGAATATACTCCGGTCACGTGTTCATGTTATTGAAAATTATCCGGTCACGTGTTCATGTTATGGAATAACCATGAAATATGGGCTATATCCTGTGACGTGCTACTCTCAAGATTTAATCAAGGCAGTAATTGTTATCAGTATCGAAGTTGTTGTTAAAACTTATTGATTTTTCGATATTTCTATAACTTTATACCACGCGATGATTGGTCTTGAATAAAATAAATACTTCTTATCTCTTATATAATATACCACGTGATTGTGTCTTCAAAAACTTATCGTCTGACCGGAATTTGCTAAAGGTGAAAGGATGGGGAGTGGGCGCAAAAAGTAGCAAAATGTAGGTTTACTGAAGTTTAAGAAAAAAAAATTAGTAAATGTGAATTACCATTTTGACCTCACGTCTTTTTGTGATGTATAACTTACACTTTACATGGAAACTTTCTTTTTATTTTGCCTATATAAATCAATTTAGTTATTGCTGAAGTAAAATCGGGTAATTCCAAGTCCTAAGACATATGTTTTCTCTTACAGAAGTCATTCAATATTATGAAACTCATTAAATTCTTCGGGCAGGTTCCTCTCCACTTCTGATGTTTAGTCATTATTTTGACCTTTTTGACATTCCTTTTCTTCGTGTTGGTATTTTCATGTTGTTTCTCTCGATGTTTCAAACGTATTGATGATCTGTTGGCGTAATTTGTAGCTCTTCAATTGCTCTGAAAACTTATTTCTCCCTAAAAGTGCACGTTCGGTGTTCTATAGCCCTAGAATGGCTTTTAAAACATATTTAGTGCTAAGCATGTGACTTTAACGATGAAAAACAGAAATCTTTTCCGAAAGAATTCGATTGCCACACTGAAAGTTGTATTATACATACAGTCCGCGCAGGGCTGACGTCACTTGTGCCTAAAAATACTTGGTTCAACACATTGTATTATTATACCATTATTGATAATACAGCTTTTAGAGAAATAGTTTGAATTATGAATGTACGATTTGAGGCAACTGTTTAGATATTAAAACATCAGAGTGCATTTTTGACTCATTCCCCGAACACCAAATCTGCCATCTTGAAAGGAAGGTGTTTC